CTTTTTTTTTTTTTTTTGCTCTGAGCCAAGAATTTGCCTTAGACACCAACAATATGTCTGAATAGGCATATCTCCCTACTATACGTTTATTTGTATAGCGCTTTTCACAATACACATCGTTGTAAAGCAGCTTCACAGAAAATAAAAGTTTCTACATTACATTTAGGAACACTTTATCAGTGGTGACTATGTCAATGTGATGTCCATGGCAGAAATGTACAGTTCTAGGACAATAAAAATCATATAATTGACATGATGATTATATGAAGAGTTCATTTGCAAAAACAGATAAACGGCACTTTTAAAAAAAAATTAGCTGATTGCTGTGCATTATTCCACACAAATCTGAACCCTAAACACGTTTTGTCAAAAAAGCCGGTATTGTCCACTTTCAAGGCATCGCGAGTTCAGGTTTTACTGCAGAAGCTGACAAGCGCCTTGTTGTTTTTGAACAGAAGTTGGTAAGTCCATTTCAGCGAATCAGCGCGCTGTATTCAGGTCAGGTGACAAGGCTACTTTCACTTTGAAAGGACGAGCTAGCTGAGAGGAGTTTCGTCAAAGCTGACTAAAAGTGATCGAGGATGGATCATCTGAGGAGATTACAAAGATTAAACCAGTGTTTTTTTAAACTCTGAAACATGAAATGTGGAGTTATATGCTTTTGTCAAAAAACGACTCTTGGAGTTATCTATAAAACAAACTTTTAATATGTAAAAAAAACTTGCTTTAATTTTGTAAATTACCTGTATTTGTTTAAGTTATTATTACTTAATCAAAACAACCCAACTGCAGTTTGATTGATATTACTTGGAATGCGCAATAAAAAAAAACGTGATTTCTAAAAAAAATAAATAAAAATGGAGTTATCGATTTTTGCAAATGAACTCTTCATATATATATATATATAACATTATATTAATATTTTATTTATATAACATACTCAATTTAATCTTTAGCAGATCTCCAAATTATTATCTATCATTCATATATTCATACTCATTTTTAATGTTGCATTTAAAACTATTTGTTGTTTTTTATTTTCTGTGTGTTGTACTGTTTATAACGTTTTATTTTTTTTTTATGTTTTTTTTTTTACTTTTTCTGTTGTGAATGAAATAAAAGCATTTATAATGTTGTCCGCGAGGTCATTCTGTGGATGCCGTCTCAGTAGGAACCTCACAAGGTTTCGCGAATGCAATCCTCCAGCTGGCCACAGGAAGTCCAGTCATTGTTACAAACGCCGTTCTTAATGCACTTTCCGTCCTCATTGTGAGCGAGCAGCTCGTCTCGGCAGTGCTTGAATAATTCTTTCCTGTTTTGCAGGTTCTGCTCCGTCGGTGGTGTGTGTGCGCGCTGCTGCGTCGTCCCTTGACATTTTATTGAATTTGCTGACACACTGCAATGGCTCTCGAGTCGTAATTCACTCGTCCGCTGTACTCCTGTTCCGCTCCGTCGCCAGCGCTGTCATGATCGCCCCCCTTCCCCCTTTTTAATTAGACAACAAAACAAAAATTATGAATATTCATAAGCAGAGACCTCATTAATATGCACAATTATGCAAATCAGCACACAATTAAGCTGCTTCTCTCCAGAGAAGAGGGGAGACTGTTTTCGGGAAATTTCTGCACCGTCGATCTTTAAAATTCTTCCGTTCGCCAGCTTTCTAGCCTTTGTGCTTTTCGTCGGTGACATTTGTGACCCTGCAGCACAAAAGCAGTCTTAAGTCGCTGGGGTATATTTGTAGCAATAGCCAACAATACATTGTATGGGTCAAAATTATAGATTTTTCTTTTATGCCAAAAATCATTAGGATATTAAGTAAAGATCATGTTCCATGAAGATATTTTGTAAATTTCCTACTGTAAATATATCAAAACTTAATTTTTGATTAGTGATATGCATTGCTAAGAACTTCGCATTTGGACAACTTTAAAGGCGATTTTCTCAATATTTTGATTTTTCATTATTTCAAATAGTTGTATCTCGACCAAATATTGTCCTATCCTAACAAACCATACATCAATGGAAAGCTTATTTATTCAGCTTTCAGATGATGCTTAAATCTCAATTTCGAAAAATTGACCCTCATGACTGGTTTTGTTGTCCAGGGTCACATTTGTGGTTTTGAAACCTTTGAGGTTTGGTTGACGTCTAATCACACATCAGTGGTGAGATGGCAGATACCGAGACGCAAAACTTAACGCAGTTTCAACCATTGAGCTGACCTGGTAATGCTGATAATGCAAACACAGAATGTGAGAATGATTTAACAAACAAAATCTGTTGTCTGAGCAGCCTTGTGTGAAAGAGGCTTAAGAAACTCATCTCAGGGCAAGTATACAGGGCTTCGTTAAGACCTATTAGTCTACTAGTCGTACTTGCAAACCACTGATGAGTCAATTTGTAGTTTTGCACAAGCATATTTAATTTTCTGTGGCATGTTTTCAAATATAAAATGGTTATTTGTCTTTTCTGCAGTGCATTGATGTTATTTGTAGTATATGCTATACTTAATTGAAGCTCAAGTAGATGCATTTTTAAAAAATACACTACCGTTTTTTGAAAGAAAGAAATTACGTTTATTTATCAAGGGTGCATTAAATTGATCAGAAGTGCCAGTAAAGACATTTATAATGTTGCAAAGGATTTCCATTTTATATAAATGCTGTTCTTTTGAACTTTCTGTTCATTAAAAAAAATCAACACTGATAATCAGAAATGTTTCTTGAGCAGCAAATCCGCATATTAGAATGATTTCTGAAGATCATGTGACACTGAAGACTGGAGTAATGATGCTGAAAATACAGCTTTGATCACAGAAATAAATTACAGTTTAACAGATATTCACATAGAAAACAGTTATATTACATTGTAATATTATTTCACATTTTTTACTGTATTTCTGAACATATAAGTGCAGCCTTGATGAGCAGAAGAGACTCTTTCAAAAACATACAAATTCTTGTTTTTAACATTAGTGTAGATAAAACGGCATACATTTATAATGTCAAATTCATGATTATTGGTTATCAGCCATCATTTCTATATCAGTGCATATCTAGTTCTTAGTAAGTATTGACAATATTTGTTTGTTTTTCAGGTTTAGATGAAAGAAGTGGCTCCGGCTCTTGGGCTTCAGGAGAAGCGAACGGTCCCGCATTTGGTGCACGGGTACGAAAACACACGCATACATCACGCTGTCTAAATCGCACGCAGACTCTGACGAAATTCATAAATGAGTGAAGTTGGAGGACAGATCGTCTCCGGTGTCTGCTCATGCTTTGCTGTTCTGATCAGACCTTAATCCCTAAAGGAAACAAACCCGACTGGAGCAGATATCTAGTCCACTTCAGGATGTCTCTTATTTTGACTTGTGAGGGTTTGTTTAAAGCAGACTGGCGTGTAGCTGTAGATGGGAAGGTCAGCAGACGTGTGTTTGTAGGTCAGTGGGTAAGACTAGCCGGCCGGTTTTAGCGATCCTCATGTTTACCTGCCGTGTCTAGCTCCGATCTCTCACCTGTCAGAGTTCATGAATGTTAGACGCATCACGTGTGTGAACGATGTGTTCTATTCGCTCCGTGACCTATTTTGCTCATAAACAAGCAGCTTGTAATTTTAGTCAAGGAGCCAACATTTTTCATGACCATTTCTCTTTGAACTTTAATACTAAACAGGATTTTTTTCCCCCTGCTTTATTAGAAAGTCTTTTTCATTGATGTGAAAAAACAGATTTTATATATGTACTTTATATTTTAATAAATGTTTGTTTATATATATATACAGTATATATAACATTAAACACATTTAACAATATATAATTTTAAGTATATTTTTAATATGCTATAATAATAAAAAATATATTTTTAATATACTGTATTTTAAAATATTATTATTTAAATGTACATAAAATTATATCATAAATTGAATTAAAATATTTTACTTCCAGTAGATGTTGTAAGTAGACTGGAGAGGAATTTTTTTAAAGTTCAGAATAAATTACATAGTACGTAACTTTCATTCATGTTGATATTTCACGATACGACCACTTTTAAGTTTGCATTCTCATAGCTGCTGATCATGACTGTGTGTGTGTATTACTGTTTGTTTTTGTGCATTAGATGTATGGAGACGGTCCTCACTACCCTGAGCATGACGGCATGTACAACATAGAGATTGACGGTGAGTTAACGCAAAACTAGGAGGTCAAAATTTCACATCAGTTTTGATACCAATTTAGGCTATTATTAATTATAGATTACTTCTCACGGATGAGGTGCATTTTCTTTGTTGTTGCTTGCTAGTGACAAAATCTGCATCAAATCCGACCTCATTTCCACAGCTGATCAGCGTCTGAAGTTTAACCCATGCATTGCCTGCTGTCCTGAGCAGGTTTAGGTCACGCTGGGATTTGGAGGGGGGTTAATCCACGTTCCTAACCGGCCCTCTCTGGGATTTAAAGCCGGGTGGGGGTTGCTTCGCCAGTGTGTGAGTTGGAGGCTAAGTATAAGTTTAGCTCAGATATATTTTCTCTCGCCGAACACTCTCTGACTGAGCGCTTCCGAGTTTCACTCTCCATCAAGCGATCTGCTGTTTTTCAGTTCATCTCAATGGATGTGCAGCGCTTCTGTATTTAACGTACCGTAAACGCTAGTGTGAAGGCGCACGACTCGCCGTCGCTTTGTTTCAGACACACGCAGCGAGAGAGGGAGAGAGAGAATTGACGCGCTACCTATGCGCGCTACATGTAA